TTAACTTAAATAACATTAGGTTAAGTACAAAATCACACAGTTAAACATAAAAATATAAAAATGTATATTTTTATGATTTTCCAATTATTATCGAATAATTTATGATTTTAACCCTAAAAATTATAAAATTGAATCCTAGACGTATTTTTTATATTTTTTATTTTATATAAACCAATGATTAATTAATTCTAAAAAATGCAAGATTAATTCCTAAATGCACATGCACCTACATTATTTTTTGTATTTTCCCTTGATTAGAATAAAATAAACATGCCCAGACAAATACAAATAAATCACAAACAACTCAAAACTATTTTATTTTGAATTTTCTGGAAGTAGTTTTCTCAGGGCAAAAATCACGTGCTTACAGTACCATATAAGGTACTACATGACCATGATAGTAAGGTATATAAGGTATGTTAAAAATGAGTAGTATTTTAAGTAATTTGAGACAATACTTGATTGTGTGGGTAGTTGGTTGATTATTGGTTAATGGGAGATTAATTAGTTAAATGATGAATTAGTGGGTAATTAAGATTTTGGATAAGGCTTAATAAAGCCTCCCAAACGTAGCAGCCCAAGAATATTGATTTAAATGACTCCTTAGTCACATTGCTAGATGGCATTTTAAGAGAATTGGATGGCTAAGGTAAGCATTATTAAGTGGGGACCACACCATTATAAAAAGGGACCTTTCTAAAGCGATCCATTCATTTATAGGAAGTCTCATACATCTGCTATGTAATGCTTCAAAGACCATACTTTTCACTAGTAACGTCAATCACTTCAACAAGAATTCATCCGAGACTTCTTAGCGTAATAACAACGGAATCGATCCTCCATTACTTATTGTCACAATCAACGAGTTTTAAAAGGATTGTCAAGAGAATCGGTTCAGGTATATTAAGGCTATCCCTTCTTTCTTTTGGCATAATCTATACGACACAAACGAAACGAGCAAATGCACAAATTCCATAAATGACTCTATTCATAGAAGTATTAGAAATATCTATGTTCTTGAATTTTCATGTGTCATAATATTCTATCATCTGTTCATGGGTCTCAGAAAAATACAAAAGTTGAAAAGAGATTACTTTAGGATATTACTCAAAGGCAAAATGGTCTTATGACATTCCGAAAGATTTTATTAACGTACTTTTCATGCATTGCATTCATGTAAATTAACCCATGACCAGATGACATTATATACGCGTATATATGTATGTATATATATATATGTATATGGGATATGGGAAAGGTTATGGTGTTGTATACACACCACCACCTGATCAGCTGGTATATTTTGATGATTTTGCCCACAGTGGCCAAGATGATATGATGGGATGCCCTCAGAGGCTAATGATGTTATGAAATATGTACCTATGCATGACATGACATTCATACGCATATGCATGATAACAAAATTATTTCATAATTTACAGAGTTATCCAGACTTACAGGTTGGGTCATTTACTCTATATTTCTTCCATGTCTGTTATGTACTTATTTATGTTCCTTACATACTCGGTACATTATTCGTACTGACGTCCCTTTTGCCTAGGGACGCTGCATTTTATGCCCGCAGGTTTCGATAGACAGGTTGAGAGTCCTCCAAGTAGGTCATCAGATCAGCGGAAGATGTTGGTGCGCTCCATTCGCTCCAGAGTTGCTTGTTTGGTCAGTATGATTTAGACGTGTATTGTTTGATATGGCGGGGCCCTGCACTAACCTTTGTGATAAGTATGTACTCTTAGAGACTTGTAGACAGATGTCATGTGTACGAATGCATGTATGGCCTTTCCGGCCTATGTTTTGAGTTCACAAATGATCATGTTGGCCTTATAGGCCCGTATATCACATATATACGTTTTTATGTCAGGATTGGTCATTCTATATTGAGTATTCCCTGTGTTTATTCTGGTTAGCCCATGACGGCCTGTTTGGCCCATTTGCCAACTAAAGCACTATAAGAAAGATATATTATGTTGGTACTCAGTTGAGTAAGATACCCGGTGCTCGTTGCGGCCCATAGGTTTGGGTCGTGACATAGAAGTTCAAAAAAAATTGAAATTTGTGATCTAAAACAAGCCTTAAATATTTGTAATTACTAGAATTTATCTCAAGGATAAAATAGAAACTTTAAAGATAAAGTATTTCTAAATATACAAAAAAATTCTATTTTATGCATAATAAAAATGAAAATGTGTCATATAAAATAAGACAGATGGATTACACATTTTGATGCGGAGGAGTACCAATCCTATCTAGTTCCCGTTTGAACATAAATTTTGGCTTTAAAAAAAATTATTTGTTCAATTTTTGAAAATAATCTTAAAATAAATTTTCAAATTCCAAAAACTAGTTTGGGCCACCAGTTTTTGGGTGAAAATTTATCTTCAACTCACATAACTTCAATATTTTTTAAGTAAATGCATGTCCAAACACAATTTTAACTTTCAAAAATTATTTTTCAACACAACTTCAAAACTCATTTTTTTTCAAGTTTCAAATATTCAAATGCTAGCATAAATCTCACATTGCCCTTTGAATTTTAGCACGTCATACAAAAAAAATGTACCTGCACCAGCATTGATGCGCTAAGATATTCTTAACTTTGAAGTCATTCGAAAAATTTATTTAGATTCATTCCACATACCCAATTATATTGTCACTCATGTAATATGACTTAGTTAAGGATATACCTCATGGAGTTAAATCAAACACTTATGCTCTCTTATACTAGGAAAATCTTATACATATATTAGTTGGAATAATATTTTTATTGAAAGGATGTATCTTCAGCTGAATTTAACGAAGAGGATAGGTAAAGAAGAAGAAGAAGAGAGAAGAGAGAGAATACTTTGTTTTTTGTTATTCAGAAAAAATAGAAGCCTCAATATACACACGTGTATCTCTCCTCATTTATACTACCTATCTACTTAATACAAATTAATTATCTTAACTACTCAACTAACTGTACATGTGAAACTAACTAACTGACTCCAACTAATATGTACAACACCAATAGCCTATGTACAAGGATTGCTACTACTGCTCTTTTCAACACTCCCCCTTAAGTTGGGTGATGAAAAAATATTGATCATCCCCAACTTGCAAACCATCTCAATATGTAGTTGTTTTCCAAGTGCCTTGGTTAGTATATCTGCAATTTGATCTTTACTGGGAACATGGACAGTTTTGATCATGCCCTGTTATAGTTTTTCTCTAATGAAGTGACAGTTAATCTTTATGTGCTTTGTGCGCTCATGATACATTGGATTTGAAGCAATCTGTATAGCTGCTTTGTTATCACAGTACAACTCCATAGGCAGATCAACTTGCATTCCTAATTCTTCCAGTAGTCCATTAATCCAAGTTAACTCAGCTACAATGTTTGCCATGCTTCTATACTCGACCTCTGCTGAAATTCTTGAAACTGTGCTCTGTTTCTTGGATTTCCAAGAAATCATGGAGTCTCCAAGTTTTATGCAAAAGCCTGTAACAGACTTCCTAGTCACTGAGCAGGATGCCCAGTCTACATCACAAAATGTAGACACCTTCCTACTCCGTTTGCTACTCATCAACAAACCTTGTCCTGGACAGTTCTTGATATATTTCACTACCCTCAATGCTATATCATAATGAGACTGTTGTGGTGCATTCATAAACTGACTGAGAACTTGGACTGCATATGAAATATCTCGCCTTGTGATTTCCAAATATAAGAGTCTCCCTATAAGTCTCTGATACAGTCTGATGTCTTCAAGCTCTGTGTCATGTCCTTGCTTATCAAAAAGCTTGTCATATTCCACACTAGTAAGTTTCATATTCTGGTCCAAAGGGGAGATGCTTGGCTTTGCTCCTCCTAGGCCACATTCTGACACGAGTTCCAATGCATACTTCCTTTGGTTCATGAGGATTCCCTTATGTGATCTTGCAAATTCAATACCAAAAAAGAACTTTAGCTCTCCCAAATCCTTCATCTTGAAATTGTGATTCAGTATGTCTTTAACTTCTTAAATTAAGACATCATTACCTGTAATCAAAAGATCATCAACATAGACCAATATAATCACTATGGCATTCCCTGTCTTCTTAGTGAGTAGTGAATGATCCAATTTGCTTTGGTTGAAGCCACACTCTGTGAGAGCTAGGTGAGCTTTAAATTCCATTGTCTGCTAACCTGTTTTAATCCATAGAGGAATTTGAGTAGTCTACACACTTTAATCTTCCCCTAACTACCAAACCCTTGAGGCAATGACATATAGACTTCTTCTGAAAGATCACCCTGTAGGAAAGCGTTGTACACATCCATCTGAAGTAAGGGCCAACCATACTGAGCAGCTAGAGCAAACACTCCTAACTCTGACCATCTTCACCACAGGTGAGAAGGTCTCATGGTAATCCAGTCCCTCTTGTTGAGTGAACCCCTTGGCAACTAAGCGAGCTTTGTATCTTTCCACAGTCCTATCTGCCTTGTACTTTACCTTATAAACCCATTTTGCAACCAATTGGAGTCTTGCCTACAGGTAAATCTACCAATTCCCAGGTGTTATTATTAGTGAGGGCCTGAACCTCAAGCTTCATAGCCTGTACCCAATTGCTGCCTTGAGCAGCTTATTCAAAGGTTGTAGGTTCAACAATGGAAGAATAAGAGGTGAGACAGTCTTGATAAGAAGGTGATAAAGGAGAGTAACTGAGGAAGGAAGAAATGGGATAAGGAGTAGAAGTAGACTGGACCTGATGCACATAATCAATTAACCATAAGGGAGGATTAAATGTCATGGCAGACTTCCTTAGAGTAACATCTGAAATATGAGTAGGTTGTGGCTCAATGGGAGAAGGAGGTGAGGCAGTAGGATTAGGATGCATAACAGGAGATGGAGGTGGTTGTGGACTAGAGGGCTCTGGTTGTGCAACAGAAGTTGGAGGTGAACATGGTGGTACATCATTCTTGGCAGGAAATGTATCATCATATGAAGAAATATGAGCTGGACTAGGAAAGGTAGGAGTTGAGTTAGGGAGATGTGAATGCAGAAATGCGGACTTGGGATGTCTAAAAGGAAATGTATTTTCTTTAAAAGAGACATCTCTGCTGGAAAAAAGGTTCCTGAGGAAATGTTGTAGAGCTTATATCCTTTTTGAGTTTCTAAGTAACCCATGAAAATGGCAGGAATGGCTTTAGAAGAGAACTTATTTGTGAAGCATGGTGTGGTTGCATAACACAGATAGCCAAACACTTTAAGATGAGTAAGTGAATGTGGTTGACCATAAAATAGCTCATAAGGAGATTTCCCTGAAAGAACTGAAGAAGGCAATCTGTTAATGATGAAGGCAGCTGTAAGAACACATTCTCCCCAGAATTTCAAGGGGACATGGGCTTGAAACCTAAGAGCTCTAGCCATTTCAAGTAAATGCATGTGCTTTTGTTCAGCCACTCCATTTTGTTGTGGAGTGTGCACATAAGAACTGTGATGGACAATCCCAAAAGAAGTAAAAAGAGTTGCACATTTAGCATTAAAAATTTAAAGACCATTATCAGACCTAATAGTCTTGATAGAGGTAGAAAACTGAGTATTAACAAGTGCAATAAAAGACTTGATTAACAAGAACACATCACTTTTCATACTCATCAAGTAGATCCAAGTCATTCTAGAATAGTCGTCTACAATGGTAAGAAAGTATCTATATTCATTGTAAGTGGATATTCTATATGGACCTCACACATCCATATGTACAAGTTCAAAAGGGGTTACAGTTTTATTATGACTAGTAGGAAAGGGGAGCTTAGTTTGCTTTGCTAAAGGACAGATAGCACAAGACAACTGCTCTTTATTCAGCTAATGAGTTTTTAGAAATTGAATTTTTTGTAGGACCGCTAATGGAGCATGGCCAAGTCTTTGGTGCTATATAAAGCACTGATCTGAATGCTTTGATTGAGAACAAGCAGATGCTGGAGTAGAAGCTGGAACCGACACAGAAAAAGCAGCAGGAACTGAAACAAGAGAGGCAACAAGACAGGAATTTGTAGTAGGTATTGTTGTATTGAATGTTATGGCTAATGATTACTCAGGTGCTTTGACAGGTGATGGCTTCTTGGCAGGTTGAAGTATGTAGAGGCCATCCTTGTCCTTACCAATCCCCCTCACCTTGCCAATGCAAAAGTCCTGAAAAATGCACAACATCTTAGCTCTTTGGTAAGTTTGGATACTAACAACAGGTTATATTTGAAATTTGGAAAATAAAGCACATTACATAATTCAAGATCATTAGAAAGATTTAATGACCCTGTATGTGTTACTGATGTAATGTTTCCATTTGGCAGATGGACTTTACTAGTATTGGGAAACACAAGAGTAGATTGAGTTAAAAGATCCAGACTAGAAGCCATATGGTTTGAGGTCCCAGTGCCAATTATCCAGGAGTTAGGTTCAGAACCTGCAAGCAAACAAGTGCCAAGGAATTCTTTTATACCTACTATGTTAACTTTGGCTTCTGCAACTGCTGGTTCATGGCTGATTAATTTCAAAAGTTGATTATATTGCTCTGAGGTGAACATTGGCATGTTGCTATTACCTGATGATCTACTTGCTTCTGGTTCTTCAACATGACTAACAATGTTGGCAGAATATCCAAGATTGACACTATAAGCTGAATGCCCCATTATCTCCTGAACTTTGTGGCCTATCATAATTTCTCATTTTGTTGAATTTGTGATTGGAAGGATATCCCACCAACTTGTAGCAGTTTTCTCTCCTGTGTCCTTTCATATTACAATAATCACAATAAGGTCCATTGTTTCTTTTGAATCTGTTGTTTTGTGTGGCAGCTAGAGCTGTAGGATCATTCAAGTTCATCTGTTGCAGTGTTGGTGTGAGTTGTGATATCATATTGGACTGAATCCATTGGCTTTCATCCTACATTATCATATTGTAGGCTTGATTGAGGGTTAGAATAGGGACTGTTAGCAACACTTGACTCCTAGCTTGGGCATATGTTTCATTTAGTCCCATTAGAAACTGTACAAGTCTCTGTTGTTCCATATGTTCTGCATACTTTTTATGTTTTGCACAGTCACATGGCAAAGGTATCATGGACCAATATTCATCCCAAACACTCTTCAGTTTTGAGTAATATTCCGATACTGATGAAGTGCCCTGACTTATGGTGCAGATTTCACGGAGCAATTGATAAACTCTAGTAAAGTTTTGCTCGTCAAATCGTTCCTTAAGGTCCATCCAAACACTGGTAGCATTAGTTGAATACATCATTCCATTTGCCAACTCTTTTGATACAAAATGAGTGATCTATGACAGAACGAAAGCATTACACCGTTCCCATTCATGTTCTAAGTCGCCATTATAATGTTCTTTACAACACGTCCCGTCTATGAGCCCTAATTTGTTCTTCGCCAACAACGCAACCTTCATAGAATTGCTCCATGCTGTATAGTTTTCTATTCCTGTTAATTGATGTAGAACTAAAACACTACCTGGATTATCTGATGGATGCAGATAAAGAGGATGTCTAGGATGAATATATGTGAACTTCTCCCCATTGCTCGTCTCAATTTCTCCAGTTTCTGGCATTTTTACCTTCAATTTCTTAGCAATTTGAAATCAAAACTCACCTTAATGTGAAAGAAGAGTGAATGAAGGCTCCGATTTGTGAATATTGCTGGATTTTAGGGCAAATCAACCTCTCGCACAACAATCGTGAAATTCTAGGGCAGATCTGAATTTCTCTCAGAACTTCAACGAAATAGAGTTGATTCTTCAACAATAATCACCAATTCCACAACAATTCAGCTCAGAAACGCCATGGATCTAGGCTCTGATACCATATTGAAAGGAAGTATCTTCAACTGAATTGAACGAAGAGGATAGGTGAAGAAGAAGAAGAGAGAAGAGAGAGAATACTCTGTTTCTTGTTATTAAGAAAAAATAGAAGCCTCAATATACACGTGTGTATTTCTCCTCATTTATACTACCTATCTACTTAATACAAATTAATTAGCTTAACTACTCAACTAACTGTATATGTGAAACTAACTAACTGACTCCTAACTAATATGTACAACACTAATAGCCTATGTACAAATATTGCTACTACTGCTCTTTTCAACATTTTTATTTCATAAGAACGAGTTATGCTCGAAGCTAAATATATTAAAATTGAATAACTAAAAGAAAAAAACAAAATCACAAATAGAATTTTAGATGTGTTTAATTTTATGAAATTCAAGAAAGTAAGCAAATATATTTGTTCAGATTTTTTTAGTTAAAAAGAGAGCAAATAAGGAAGCAAATATATTTGTTCAGATTTTTTTAATTAAAAAGAGAGCAAATATTTTTGAGATTAAAAACGTACTAATTCAACCCGAGGTTAAACGTCCAAATGTTGAATAACTTAAGGATCAAACTTGGAATAAAGCAATAAAATCGTTATTTTCCCATAATAGTAATATGATTGAAGTTAAGCCTTTTTTTTTGGTTAAAATCCGTACCTAGTAATTCCTAATCCACGACCTGTATAAGAGTTCTAAAACCCTAGCCTCACCGGAAACCAGCATCTTCCTCCTCTAAAATCTTCTACAGAACCCTAATCAAATTGCTTCACACTGTTTGAATGAAGATGGGTTATTGTGAAAATGCTGCATATAGGCTCATCTCTTCATCTTCTTCCTCTGTTCTTCCTCCTTCCAAAATATATTCATCAAGAACCCACCTTTTCCCACTATTTCCCCACTCTGCCAAATCCTCAGTTTACAAAAGCTCCTCTTTTCTGCACCTCCAGTCTCGGCCATCCGTTTTGGGTCACACCCATTTGCGCAAAAGGGTGAATTTTTCGATTGTCAATGAGCAAAGCCCCAATAATGATTCTGTTGTTCAAAAGCAGAAATTGGGTAAAAGAACAGATATAAAGAAGATTTTGATACTGGGCGCAGGGCCAATAGTGATAGGACAAGCTTGTGAGTTTGATTATTCAGGTACTCAAGCTTGTAAAGCTCTTAGGGAAGAAGGGTATGAGGTTATACTGATTAATTCGAACCCTGCAACGATTATGACCGACCCCGACATGGCGGACAGGACTTATATTGAGCCAATGACACCAGAACTTGTAGAGCAAGTCTTAGAGAAAGAGAGGCCTGATGCATTGTTGCCTACAATGGGTGGCCAAACTGCTCTTAATTTGGCTGTAGCGTTGGCGGAGAGTGGGGTGCTTGATAAGTATGGAGTCGAGTTGATTGGGGCGAAGCTTGGTGCCATAAAGAAAGCGGAGGATAGGGATTTGTTTAAGCAGGCAATGAAGAATATTGGGATAAAGACTCCACCTTCAGGCATTGGCAATACTTTGGAGGAATGTATCGAGATAGCCGGTGAAATCGGGGAGTTTCCATTGATTATAAGGCCAGCTTTCACATTAGGTGGCACTGGTGGTGGAATTGCTTATAACAGGGAGGAATTCGAGGCGATATGTAAGTCGGGGTTAGCAGCTAGTTTGACATCACAAGTTTTGGTTGAGAAGTCTTTGTTAGGTTGGAAAGAATACGAGCTTGAGGTTATGAGAGATTTGGCCGACAATGTGGTTATCATTTGTTCAATTGAGAATATTGATCCTATGGGAGTTCATACGGGAGACTCCATCACTGTGGCTCCTGCTCAGACTTTGACAGATAAAGAGTACCAACGACTTAGGGATTATTCGATTGCCATCATCAGGGAAATCGGGGTTGAGTGTGGTGGTTCTAATGTACAGTTTGCTGTAAATCCAGTTGATGGGGAAGTCATGGTAATTGAAATGAATCCTAGAGTTTCGAGGTCTTCAGCTTTAGCCTCAAAAGCTACTGGCTTTCCAATAGCTAAGATGGCTGCTAAGCTATCAGTTGGATACTCCCTGGATCAGATTCCTAACGATATCACAAAGAAGACTCCAGCTAGTTTTGAGCCATCCATAGATTATGTTGTTACAAAGGCAAGTATCTTTACTTTATTGCTTCTCTTAAATTCCAATCGTGTTGTGTAGTATGTTTCTCTTATGTGTTAATTTTCTCCCTAGAAATTTAATGTTCCGTTACTTATAAAAGAATGCAATAATATTCATTCGGTTGTCTCAATTCAGTTATATAGGAGTAAGAATGGTATCTTGTTTCTACTAAGGTGTCTATTTATGGCCTTGAGACATAATCATCTCTAAAACATGCTAGTGTAACTTGACAACCAGAATATTCACCACCCTTTTTTCTTTGGTACAATGAATTATTTGGTCCCAGCTATGACCAAAATATGGCTAATTTTTCGACCTGGGTTGTGTAGAGACTGGATAGGATAAAGAAACAGGAACATATGATTCTTGCCAACGGAAATGAACCCTGGCATCTCTGTCATCAGCTCGATTCCTATAATTTGTTCTTTAAATTATGGTAGTATTCTTATTGCTGCTGGCAAGTATTTTACAAGAGAGTGTATGCAGCGTTGTTACAATCTTGACACACTATTTCAAAAGCTGGTTGTGGGATAATACATTAATTAGGATTTTTTATTATTTCATGATCTGAAGATGACCTAATAGTTTTTTTTATATTTCGAACTCCATTATTTATACATTCACAGTTAGTTGTCTAAACAATGTACATTTTGCAGATACCCAGATTTGCATTTGAGAAATTCCCTGGATCTGAGGCCATACTGACAACTCAGATGAAGTCTGTTGGTGAGTCCATGGCAGTAGGTCGCACATTCCAAGAATCCTTCCAAAAAGCAGTGCGGTCTCTAGAATCTGGTTATTCTGGATGGGGCTGTACCCAGGTTAAGGAATTGGACTGGGATTGGGACAAATTGAAGTATAGTCTTCGGGTTCCTAATCCTGATCGCATCCATGCGGTATATGCTGCAATGAAGAGGGGGATGAAGGTAGATGACATCTTTGAGCTCAGTTACATAGACAAATGGTTCCTCACTCAGCTAAGGGAGCTTGTAAATGTGGAGCAATTCCTTCTGGCTCGCAGTTTGTCGGACTTAAGAAAGGATGACTTCTATGAAGTGAAAAAGAGAGGGTTTAGTGACAGACAGATAGCTTTTGCGACAAAGTCCAGTGAGGAGGAGGTTCGGTCAAGACGTTTGTCTTTGGGTGTGAAACCAGCATATAAACGAGTTGATACGTGTGCTGCAGAATTTGAGGCTGATACGCCTTATATGTATTCATCTTATGACCATGAGTGTGAATCAGCTCCTACCGGTAGGAAGAAAGTGTTGATTTTAGGTGGTGGACCAAACCGAATTGGACAGGGTATTGAGTTTGATTATTGTTGCTGTCATACATCCTTTGCCCTTCAGGTTTGTGTTTCTTGATCATTGATTTTGGGTCTAAATTTTGCTGCATTGCCTTTTAGGGTATACTTCTTCAACTGTCAATGAATAACTCGATCAGAATTGGGTCGAGGCTTACGTTCTGATAAGGTTTCTTCCATATAATGATTCAAATTACTGATTATTCTGCAATACTACTGAAATCAAAAAGTTGATAAATTCTGGGAAATGAATGTCATGATCTACAGGTTCCTTTTAATATGGAAGACTCCTACAACATGGCTCCAATAAGAAATATAACATTGGTTGAATGGATTTTCAACTTTTTAGAATGATGAACTTCTGGTTGCACAAT